AATTTACCACAGGACACCAACCTTAGCACCACATTCTGCTGACTTGGCCATACAAAATCCAATAAAGACAGGATCAGCCATCTTGACCAGGATGTTATCAACACAATACACATGCACATACTCTATACCACATCCTCGCATCTTGTCAATAAGTTTCTTCTCATGAAGAGCTTCATACAAGCCACCATTTCCTCCAGGGGCTCTGGAAACTTTACCAGGCTGGTCAAGAATGATTTTACCTTCAAGGGTCAAACATGGAAGGGTGTGCTGCTCAAAGAGAATCACATCATCTTTTTGGAGTCCAAAATAATTGTGTTCCTGGAAGTACTCTTTTGTTTCATCCATTGTATGTTCACTGGTCATGATGTACCTGAAGTGTTGTGAACAAAACACAGAACTGAGTTAACTCTATCACTCCGATGACCTCATTAGTAGTACATGTACTTCTTACTGTCTGCTATACAAGTCTTATTATTTTGATTCAGGGAATTTGGTATTAAATCAACAGGTGATCTCCTTGTTGATAGTTTTCTTCATTCTCATTACTTGTCTGCTTGATAGTGTATTAATATTGTCAGGAGAAATTCTGCCTTAATAGTGACAAGGGTTAACAGGAAACTCTTGGGAGATGTTTTGCAACACTTAGACAACAACAAAAAATATGTATGTTTCAACTGGAGTCCTCTTGACTGATTCAATAAAATTAATCATCAAAGGTTATTCTTGGCCACATTTTCAGAAAATATTATTTTTAAATTCAGCATATGGTTTTATAATTACCATTAATTCTTAAGGAACAAATAAATTTGGTGTATAGCATTTTGTTTTCGAGTCTTGAACGGTAAATTTTTTTAATGTGCATAACTGTTGTACTTAAACATTAATTTCAAAAAGTCAACATCTTTTTAATCTAGGCACATTAATTTTTTCTTTTAATCAAGGTGCAAAACCAGTCAAGAGGTTTATTTATTTTATGACCTTCTCATTACTTTTCATTCCATGCATTGATAGCATATTTTGTGGACATTTTTTTTGTTATTTCCCTGACAGCATCACAGAACCCTTCAACACAAGTTTGCTTTCCTTCTGTGTTTTTCCATGGCTTTTTCCTGCTGGCTTTGTTTCACATTAACAGAAGTAGTTGGAGGACAAATATCGATGCAGATGGGGGATATTGCATGACAACTGTACCCTGATTGATGAAAGTAGCCAATAAAATCAGGTGAAAATTGATGGGTGTGTTGTCAATTCTGTATAACCCCATACTTCATATTGAACAGAGTGTGATGTACTTGTATAAGAGAAAACATTGCAAACCTGTTCACAATACATTACCTTCAGGACTGAGGATTTGTTTAAGAATAGAAAGAGGTTATCAAGTCTGAACAAGTGTCGCAATTATTTTGGAACAAGAACAAATGAAAGTACCAATTAAAATCGACAAAGCTGTTTGATTAGCTGATGTAAAAGTTACATTTCCGTAGAATTATAAATCGATTTATTATTCATAGTAAAACCTTGATTTATTATTCATAATAAAACCTTGCAAATTCATGGTTGGAACACTACATACGGAATTACGCTTAACGTAGCAGCAAGTGAGCTCATTTATGAAGACAGTCCCTCCCCCTTACCTCCCACAATAGGGTCCAAAGGTTCTAAACACTTCTGGTTTTTTGCAGAAACGACTTGTCTGAACAAGTATCGCAATTATTTTGGAACAAGAACAAATGAAAGTACCAATTAAAATCAACAAAGCTGTTTGATTAGCTGATGTAAAATTTAAATTTCCATAGAATTCTAAATCGATTTACTATGCATAGTAAAACCTTGATTTATTATGCATAAATTCATTGAATAGAGTGCAATGTACTGGTATAAGAGAAAACATTGCAAACCTGTTCACAATACATTACCTTCGGGACTGAGGATTTGTTTTAGAATAGAAAGAGGTTATAAAGAAATCTTTCCCAAAAGAGAAAAAAATTAAAGAACCGAAATGGTCAGAAAACTTCACCCTGTAACATACATCCTGCGTCTTACATGAGGACAGCCCCTCCCCCTTACCTCCCACAATAGGGTCCAAAGGTTTAAAACACTTCTGGTTTTTCGCGGAAACGACTTGTCTGAGCAAGTATCGCAATTATTTTGGAACAAGAACAAATGAATGTACCAATTAAAATCGACAAAGCTGTTTGATTAGCTGATGTAAAATTTACATTTCTGTAGAGCTCTAAATCGATTTATTATTCATAGTAAAACCTTGATTTATTATTCATATTAAAACCTTGCAAATTCATGGTTGGAATGCTACATACGGAATTACGCTTAACGTATCAGCGAGTGAGCTCATTTTTCATTCCAAGAAAGGAAGAGGTTGGACGATCACACTGTTCTTTCCTTACTTTGGGAAGTTTTATCGAAGAGACTTTTCCGTTGCAATTGTTCGCAAAAGAAAGTACGGAAATTTACATTCTCAACTTGTTGTTATGGTCACGCACAGTTGCATCAAAACGTCGATAGCGATGCTAGCGGAAAGGGAAAATAAAGGGAGAATTTTGTATGGATCGAAACATATACTTATGAAAAGCTAAATTCTACGATGATTAAATTTTATTAGCAGTAGAAAGAAATAAAAATGTGCGAGCGAAGTCAGCGCTTGTCTACCAAACTAAACGATTGAGGGCACAACTGAGGTTTACTTACCATGGAATCGTAGCTTTCTCTCCAGTGTGCTCGTACGCCAACTCCTGCAATTTCAAGATCCTCTCAGCTTGCAGTTGATAAAGGGTTTTCCCTGATGGTAAACCGACATTGTACATTCCTTTCGGATAATCAACTCCCAATCGAGTACCTTGACCACCAGCCAGAAGTAGTACAGCGACTTTACCTTCGCTTATTGCTTGCAGTCCTTTATTTCTCCAGTCGGTGACGTTGTTTTGGTTTTCTGCTCCAATGACACTGCCAACCTGCTCTGGAGGAACTGGCTGCAATTTTTCGTCCTTCTTTTGCATAGTGTTTGCCTCGGCCATCGTCTTCTCGAACGCGAGATTAATCTTCGCGTACTTGATATTTCGAAGATCGTTGATTAACAACTGCTGTTGATGCTTCGGTAGCGTGTCTTTAAATTTCATCAAATGATCCTGACCATTTTCTTTCAAGTCTTTTTGTAACTTATCATATTCTTCCTCCATCTTAAGGACAATAAAAACTTCGCGATTGCACACAAACCTGCTCACGTTACCGCGCTCTCCACGGCTTCCTTTAGTGAGGTCCCAAGTAAAGTTTAGAACAGTTGCGCCTCGACTGCAAGCTGTCTACGTGGAACTGAGCGCCCCTGGCTGAAATATGTTTAGGGAGGGGTGAGGAGGAATCGGCTTTTTCTTTCACTTCCGGGGCCTCTACTGCCTTAAAAAATAAAGAAGTATAAGATCGAGGCTAAACGCAAACTGTGTTAATGATGAACGCAACCTTCTGGCTCAAAATGGTTCTGCTGCACCTCGACTGCAAGCTGTTTATGTGGAACTGAGCACCCCTGGCTGAAATGTGTCTAGGGAGGGGTGAGGAAGAATCAGCTTTTTTTCACTTCCGGGGGCTCTTCTGCCTTAAAAGAAAGAGAGAAGTACAAGACCAAGGCTAAGCGCAAACTGTCAATAATGAACGCAACCTTGTGGCTCAAAATGGTTTTGTTATATCTTAAAACCAATTTAACATGTCAAATAGATTCAATGTTGTTGTTGCATCTGTTCAGTAATACATGTAGATCACATGGCGTCAAAATGTGGTAAGAACAGAGAAGTGGCAAAAGAGGTGCACCCAAGTGTGTCAGTAATGTGCTTATCTCATTTCCACGTCTTCCCCAATTTTCTTCTAAGCTCTCCTGTCTAGTTATAAGTTCTCTGTGAATGCAACGCTATCGAAGGCGAAAGTTTAAACTATTTATTTCAAAATAAAAAATATTGAATACCTGAGCCAAGACAGTGAGCTGTGAATTTACATTTCAACACATCAGTTTAGATTAAACAAGTGTGGTTTATCTAGTTAATTGAAGGCTACTTGAGCATTTAGAGAGCATTTTCAGCACCAAAAGTGATCTTTCAAAAGATATCTGCCCTCTTTACTGATCTTTACCGCAAGTAATGCGTGCTGTCTGACTCTTTCACGTATCGTGACCCCCTCGTCAGACTTAATAACTTTATTATTTATTTCACCCATCCGCTTAATTATTGAAAACATTGTTTCCTGCAATTTGTTAACCGAGCGATTTTCAGCAAATGAAAATTGGCGTACATTGGTGACTAACTGCACGTTTGACAATACGGTGGGGCTAAAAGGCGCTCTATTACCGCCGATTCTCAAAAGGAGTGGGCTGATGGTTAATACTTGCTTTCTTTTCCGTGATAAGTTCGCCACTACCGATATTTACTTAGGCTAAGAGGGCAATTCTAGCGAAATCTGAACGGTAGTTTAAATACATTACCGCTCAGGGATACGTTGACTACGCAGACGCATTCCATACGCTCAGACGCAGGGTAGTCAGACGCGCATATTCTATTTTTCTGCGCGTACGGTCGAAAAAAATGCGCGACTCATGTGTCTTTGGTTTCCTTTGTGTTACATTGTTGGGTAAAAGAAAGAACTTTTCGGTTTAGAAAAGCGACGAGTCGACACCGGAAAATTTACGTAGTGAAAAATGCTATCATGTTACACACTCACACGTCGCATCGCTTCGCGGATTTATCCGATCACGAGTGGTTGTAGCAGATTTGTTTGATCTGAGCTGTTGATGAATCAGAAAGAAAAGAAAATTTTCACTCATACGAGGCATTGAAACACATGTATCATCAAGCGAATAACGCATTGGAATGTAAACAATTCTGTGTTCGCATCATGATTTATTAGAAACTTCAAACTTCTCTCGATCACCTTCGATGAATGATTACTTCATGGCGAGGAAGGAAAATTTGCTATTTTAGATAGTGAATGATGTTTTCCTTTATTCACTGCAATGGCCGCTCGTTTTAGTGTTTTATACGCACCCGGATGTAAATAGTTCGGAGCGCATCATATTCATTAAAACGATGACATGCCCAATTAAATTAAGTGATAAACATCAATCGATGGTTTGACAAATATCAAAACAAGACGCAAATCCGGTTTCGCATGAAGATTTGCACACGAGTTGGAAGAACAGCAGCTTTATAAACGATTCGCGAAACTCTTTACTGAAGAATAAAAACAAAGTAGGATTCATTGCCGAATTTGTGGAGGGCAACACGAAACACCCTCCAAAGCCTCCAAACACTTTTTGCCGCAAACCGATCATCGAGGTTCAACTTAGTAGAATTAGCGGCATTCAGAAAAACAAAATAGTGGACTTAACAATAGTGATAGTCTTAGCAGCCTTTGCGTTTTTTGAAATGCGTTCCTTCGATGTCATGGCACCTGAGTCGTAAGTATTTGAGATTTTTCGATCCGACTTCGGTAATGACGGTATCGAATATTCAATATCGGTATCGACCCACCTCACTGCAGACAATGTAAACGTAGTTGATAATTGAGTATATGTTACATTAATTTGCGGCAGTTGAAAATATATAGATGTTGGAATAACAAGTTTGCACGAAATCTGTATCAGAAAAAGGTCAACTAGTCGTCAGGAGCCCAAGTGATGGGCCCAAGTGGTGGGCTCCTGACTAGTCGAAAATACTGAGAAGATAAATTTCTCCACTTTTGAACTCAAGAAGAATATTATGGTCACAGGTACACGAAAAACCCCAAATTATGATCTAGCGTGCTGTTTCAAATGCAATATATCTGATGTACTGCAATTTTTTTCTCTTGACATGATCGAGGAGAGGTAGGCTGTGTGACTGAAGGCGCTGATCGCAGGATTTGCATGGTACCGCCTGCTCGCGCAATGAGCAAAAAAATATTAAACTCGCACTCGGAAATGGAATCTAACTTGCCGCAATTTGGCATTCAATAACCTTTTCGTCTGTAGTCTAAGCTGGTCTCCTTAATATAGCACGCGTGCGCATGGTCCAATTTGGTGTGTAATCATACATGTTTTTTACACTAAAAATTAACGTGAAAAAGCAACGACGTTTCGACCGCTCAATGGTCATTTTCAAGTTGAAGGAAAAAATGTCAGAGTAAACTGGACTGTTTGATCTTTGAAATGCTTTTCATTCGCGAACTTAAACCAAAACTGAACAAACAGAGTGATTCGATCCGTGCATAAGTATTTATCTAATCGATTCACTTTTAATATTTTTTCGTTCGCCTTGGCGTTTTTTATCCGTCTTGCCTCAATTTCTCGTATTGTTTCTATGTAAATATTTTAGATTTTTACTCATTATCTCATTAGCATTTTTTTAATTAATTATGACCGTTGAGCGATCGAAACGTCGTTGCTTCTCAGCAACGTTAATTTTTATAGTAAAATCCGTTTCTAAAAATTTGTTGATTCGAATCATACATGTGACTAACAAATCGAACATCAGCTTCACGGTGGTCCGATTTTGTTAAAAAGTCTAAAGATACAGATCAGATTTCTCTCCACTGTGACCCACAATAAATATGAGTCGTACATGACTCAAAACCATTTGCTTTCCTCTATATGGGGCATATAATTTTGTGTCTCCACCGTTTCATGCATAAGCATGTACGCGGAACACTTATTGATAGTGTAGCTTTAACCAAGTAACCAAGGAACTTGCCAGTCGAGCCTCAAGAAATATTGGACTTCAGCCAATAGTCAGCCAATCAATGTGAATATTGTTTTTGCCAGTTTAAGCTTCAGTTCCCAAGGAAAGATAAAAATACATTCCACCTATAACATAGTTCAGCAACTTTAACAACTTTCTATTTGGTTGAGAAAAAATCGCGCTGTTGTCTTGTGAATGAGTTTTTTTGCCACAGGGAAATCTCGTAATATCAACTTCCCCTAATATTAACTTCCCGTATCAGGCATGGCCAATTTTGATTGGCTTCCAACTTACTCTTTACCGAAGGTAGAGCATAATAAATTTCATTTGTATAGTTTTTGAATAGCATTGAAGCTTCTGGTACAAAAACGTCAACAGGATTGTTAAAGTTGTATCTTTCCGTCCCTTATAATAGATATCGATTGAACTATGACGACGAATCATACATCCATTGCCACTGTCTTTTTCTGTGGGATTGTTTTGATCTTTGCGCAAGTTGGTGAGTATTCTGCGCGTCAATTTACGTTTTAGATTAGCTTAATAGTTTGTTCCTCGAAATTAATGATATATTTTTTTTGTGGTTGCATTTCTTGCCACAAAAGAGCCATATGTCTTTCGGTGTATCTATGTATTAAGGATTTGACGTGTTACTTCTCGCAGTTTCACACGACTGCCGAACCAGCGAACAAGAGACAAGTGAATAATTAATGATAGTTCATTCACTGAACAAAACAAATAACTGTTTTCTCAAGTTAAGGTAATTTAAGAACCAACGTGAAAAAAGTTTCAATAGTTATTGCAATATAACTGCTTTATAAACTGCGTTTTAAACGAAGTTTATTATTAACCTAACTAATTTTCAGGAGGGTCTGTAAAATGCCCCAAATGTAACGTGTAAGGTCACGTTAAGGTTTCGATCGGATCAAGCAGTCTCTCTTTCAAAATTTTTAATTAGTTGCCCTCTAGTTTTCGTGGAAAAAAAAACAAAAAACAAACAAACAAAAACACGACGCGAAGATGTGTCACCTAAGGACGCCCTTGTTATCCTTCCTTTAGATCAGACATTTATTTTAAACAAGTTTTCTTTGCCTCGGTTACCCACCTCGACCTGACTTGCGTTGCGAACGGTTAAATTTGAGGAATACGCGGACGTTAAGCGCTATAAACAGCCTCTACAGGCATGTTTTAGCTATTTATTTTCTATTTCCCGTTTCACTTACCCGATGCCGGCTTTTCGAAGCTCCTTGATTCTTTTAAACAATTTTTTCGTTCCAACCGAACAACTCAAAGGTGGAAAACTCACTCAACGTGAGAAGAAGGAAAAAGAGCTTCGGGCTAGCCTGAATTAGAAAAAAAAAGGTTCAAACGAGAAAACATAATTAGACATCTGATATCCGTATTTCCATCCCACCCGCCGGCCTCTTAAAGCAAAGTAGCCTCGTGAGAGACTTGGCGTGCAAAATTCCATGTCACTCTATAACGCTTGTTCAATTTTCCCAGCATTGTCAAATAATTACTGGTCAATTGGCTGTTACCAAGATCGTGGTGCCCGTGCTATACCAACGCTTGAGGGACAAGAT